GTCAGCGAACAGTGTGTACACACCAAATCCAGCTCGATAGATGAGCTCTTCTGGACACTGCACTTTGATTCGCCGCAGTCTCCGGTTGACTGCTGCGCTAGATTTTCTTGTTACTTCTTTAGTGTCCTCTTAAATGAAATTGCAACACTTGAGCATCCTCAGCCAGAAATGACAAACATACGCGTACGTTTGTACTCCACCATCTCCACTTTGCGGCAATGTTCGGTTCTCTGGCGACCCTTCGCGTCCTCTTGAATAAAACTGCTGGGCCATTGTAATGTGAGCGTCTTGGAAAAAATAAGAAACAAATAAAAGAAAAGAGTTCACTTTTGTCGCATTCAATTTTGTATTCATGCTTGCCTGCGACGAAGAGAACGGGAGATTGAATTGCAGCATCGTTGTCAATCATATGCATATTTTTATTCATAATGTTTCGTTCTTTTTCTTTTTTTTTTTTTTTATGCAAGTGTCGAATCCACAAAGTGTATTCAGCGCGACGCCGACAATCAGCGCAATCAGATTGCAGTCCGCGGGGAGCCGTCGCCTGCCTCCCTCTATTTGTTGTTTTGTTGACGCAAAATGGAGACAGGGAGATTGCGCTAAATTATATATTTGCATTATATATTCTTTTCATATCTCTCTATTACATCAATATTTCACAGGGGTGTTCTGGCACTCTCACGCAGTGGGAGGGGGGGGGCAGGGGGGGTTGAAAAATATACTCCCAGACAAATACAGCAAAAAATAGCTCCCAAATTAAAATGTAGCAGAAAATGAAATATTTAAATATGGAGTGTTTGTGTGTAGCTGCTGAAAAGTGCGCACCGCCGTTTCGGCATAAAACTACTCAAGTCTTAGTTTGAATAAAAATTGCTGCCTCATTGAGGCATCCGAGGATACACGGCGAGAAAAGTCAATGGTAAACACACATTATGAGGGATGTTTGATGCCACTTATTTTCACTCTGATATCAGTGCGAGTTCTCGACTCTTTTGACTGAAATCAAGTAACCGATACCACTCGTACTTTTTGAGACAGACAATCTGTATTTAACCAATCACAGGTCATTTTAATGAAAGACCTTTTATTTGTCCCTGACAAAAGACAAGAACAGTCAATCTGCAATAGAGAATTTAAGTTCAAAAGAGAACACAAACCACTCAAGAACAACTCCATGAGTTTACGGTAATTAAGTTTTCAAAATCAACCGAAGTGCAAAATAATACAGGGTGACAAGCATGACACCTTGAAGTTGGAAATTAGGGCTGGGCGAGAGAGCTGAAAATGTTATCACAATGTAAGTATTTCATAATAGTCAATACTGATAAATTTTGGGTTTTCTTTTATTACCTCTTCAAAATTAAAAAAAAAAAAAATCGATTAGATATAAAAGACAGTACAATACCACCATCCTGATGGTACAGATTACAAAATATCAGAACATAAAAGTACAAAAAATATTACTCTGCATACTACATGTAAGGACTGTATTTGCGGATGCATGGCTCGATATGACAAAACAGCGCACAGGCAAACGTTATGCTTGGCTGTTGTTCATGTTGATGTTCATGTTCATGTCAACTTTATTGTCAAATGGGCTACATGTGCAACATACAGCACAGATGAAATGTCTTTCCTCAGGAGAGAGAGGAGCCGCTGCGGGTGCCCGCGTCGCCATCAAAAGAATAGTTAACATAAAATGACAAATAATACAACACAACACATTAAGACACAGTCAGTCGTGCAATCTTAACCACTTTTCTTATCACTTGTGTCTTAGTACTGTACTGCACGGTCTCTACAGCAGTGCTCCCCCGTCTTTAGCTAGCCTCAGTCATCTCTCGAACCAAAGTATCATGTAACGAGAGCGTTTGAAACATGGCTGGAAACGACAAAACCAACACACTTGCTTGCTTTATTGTTTTGCCTGTTGTGCTTTAATATTGCAGTCCACTGTCCTACTTTGATGTCATTTTCTCGCAGCCCCTGGTCTCCTCTTGAAGAAAATGACATTGCCACTTCTTTGAGGAGTCACGACGAGAAGTGACAGATATAAACACAACTGCTCACGTTGATCATGTGGTACTTCCCCTTTTCTTGCTGTCCTTAGTTTTCTCACAAATCAAATTTCTCCTGACCATAGTCAGCAAAAATGAATCCTGGATATCCCAGTTGTCCTCCAATTGTTTTCGTTTTCTTAGCGTGTCTTGTGAAGATTTTTTTTTTTTTTGTTACCTTTCCTATTACCTAACCAGTGTTTGCATCACGGGTGTGTTACATGACCTCATGGTATTTCAAAGAAAAAAAAAATGCCTGCAAAACAGAAGCTTTGTGATGTCACAATTGATTGACACCCCCCCCCACCCCAAAATGTCTTTTTTTTTTTAACCTTTCCTATGACCTAACCAGTGTTTGCATCACGGGTGTGTTTCATGACCTCATGGTATTTCAAAGAAAAAAAAAATGCCTGCAAAACAGAAGCTTTGTGATGTCACAATTGATTGACACCCCCCCCCACCCCAAAATGTCAGACCACATGCCTGATTCCTGTGATATTTCGACTCTATTTTACCTTATTTTTGAGGTAGTGTGTAACCTAGCCCCCCTGAAGACCACTTCAAGATCAACACAAATATGCTTTTAGTGTGTGATCTCGGTGAGGAACACGGTGTTGCTCATCACCGTCTCGCACGCGATTGTAACGTCGTCATGGCAACGAATGGATCACGTGACGAAGCGAGGCTTTTTTTGCAAGGGGGAACGACATCAATGACCTCCCTGCTCTCACTAAATGCCTCATGCGTGAGGACGCTAATTACTCTGTCCATTCTTCCATATTATTACTTTGTTCAGCAGCGGCATTAGGTTGATTTGAGAGGTATCCGTGGACAATGTGGTTATAATCGCTGTTTGAAATGGGAGTGCAATTGACTGCATTAGCTACGCATAGCTACAATATAAGCAGCTCTCTCAGGGTATATTATAGACAAACACACACTCTCAATGTATATTTTGCATATAATCTCCTGTCATTGTCATGGTAGCGGTATCAACAGCCAACAGTTGTTTGTTTATTTATATTCAAACTGAGCTTATAGCAAGCGTGAGCGATGTCATGTACAGTTTGCTTTCACCATGTCAAAAAATATGTTGGAGAAATATGTCAGGATTGATCCTCTGGAGGGTTTTCCTTTTTCATTTTATTTATTTATTTATTTTTTTACACAAAGGCATGACACGGAGATGTTACATATCAGGACATATGGGAACTGTTTTATGTTGGAAGAAGAAATACATGATATGTTTTTCTATAAAATGTCAAGGAATGCATTACAACGTCACTCTCAGATGATGCCGATGATGAGGATGTTGGAAATGGAGCTGCACACAATCCATCAGCAATGGTCCTAAGCCATACTGGAAAGGGATGCAGTTGAAGGATTGCCAAAGGACAGCGTGCCGTGTCACACAATGCAGTGCACGACCTAGTTCGGAAGCGCCACAGAGGCTCAATGTGACTTCGAGTTCATCCTCTCCCCTCCAGACTGTTCCAAAAAAAAAAAAAAAAAGCACATACTGTACCTATATTGTGACACACATGGACAAAATGATTGGTAGCCCTCTATTAATCAAAGAAAAAAAACCCCACAGTGGTCAAAGAAATAACTTGAATTTGGCAAAAGTGCGAAATAAAAAACAACCAATAAAAATAATTTCTTTTCAATTGTGGTTCAATGAATGACAATATGCTTTTGCAATAAAAATGAAATTTATTTTCTGGCTTTTAACATACTGTATGTTGAACAGGTTGCCAATAATTATGCAGGGCATTGTATACGTCCCAGACCCATCAGACAGGTGAAAATCTGCAATATAGAGAATCCATATAAAAGTATTTATTTTACTTTTACTCTTCCCAAAAACTGGAAACGCGTTAACTTAATAAAAACAGCCACCATATAACTTCACATCATCTGTGACTTATAAACATGCTTTGCATACTTTGACCTCCTGCATAGACTCCAGCAAATGAAGTTCTTCTTCCTCTATGTCAAGTTCTGTGCCACTCGCGTAACGATTTTTAATCTGTGTTCACACCCACAACGGCGCATCTGCAAAAATACCAGGAACCTGTATATTTAAGCATTAAAATGTTCAACCAGACCAAAGGATTTCATCTAACCAAAGCCTGCAATCATAATTCTAGCCTATAATGTCAAATACCAAAGACGGAATCACAGAAATTAGGATAGAAGTTATTGTAATAACAGCTCCTTATCATTTAGCATGTTGCAGCACAACATGGTGCGACACTGAGGGCATGTAACTTGCCTGTATACTGTAAAAAGCCATACAAATTTGTGATGTAGCGGCGGTGCAATATAGAGCGGGTTCACATAATTACTGTTTTCTATAATGCTGCTCGTTTCTTTGAAAGTGAGTCAGCCACAAATTAGTTACAGTAGTAATCCAACCATATGTATCAAGACAATTGGAGGACGCTCTGTGGGGAACAGCACGTACATTTCGAGTTATGATGTGTACATCTTTGCTTGACGTGGAGGAAAAGAGGCTTCTTTCATTTTGTCGGGTGTTGCCAGTTAACATCAAAACAAAGCAATGAGGCCGTGTGCCATTTTCCCGTGCTCTCTCGACTGATTCAACCGGTCTGTTTGTTTATTGCTCATTTTCCATCAACGCACAAACACTTTATTTGTATCCCCCTCCCCAAAAGCTAATTCAACAGCGGCTCGACAATTTTGTGGCGAGGGGCGGGGGCTGGAATTAGCCCGCCAGTCTAGCATCAGCAACCACGGCTCCCCTCGCATCAGACTAACGCCGCTGCCTGCCTCTTGTGCAATTACATCTGCGCTAGGCCAGCAGAGAGCATCCTGCCGCCAGGTTTTTCGATAATTGCAATTGAAATGTTTATGGATTTGTAGGCACCACTTCCTTTTCTGTTGCAGCCCGCTTAATCATCTATTTTGTTCTACCCACAGACACATCGAGAACTGGACGGGACTGCAGACGCTACGGGATGTGGACATGGAACTCTACACTGGACTGCAGAGACTGTGAGTGTCATTTAACTAGCCGTTAGAAGGGAAGGTATAAGTGTGCCTCAGGGGGAAAAGACAGTGTAACCTGCATAATCCAAAAACAAACAAAAAAAAAAAATCAAAAATTAAACAAAAACAGAGAAATATTTCTTAACATGATATGAAACCAAAACAGCTTTTTAAATCAGTAACGTGACAGTATGGCATCTTGGTCGAGTGATTTTTGAACATCAGTGAGGAAGGTTTGTGATTTGTCTTGATAGCACGATACATCCCATCCTTATCTATTACACCGTCATATTGATACGGCTACACGTATAACTGAGTGGTACGTGATTGCATTATTTTGTATGGTATTGATTGAAATTATATGATTGAATCATGTAGAAATAATAATGACCTCCTTATTTCTCCACACTGCGGAATTGACACAGGTCCATCAAATAGCATTACAAGGCAAGTATATTGTGACATGTTGCAGATAGGTTTCTTCGAATGGCTTGCGTATCGCATGTCAGGAAAATAATTAAAAAGGTAATAAAGTGCAGGAAAGTTCTTTACAACATGTGACTTTTAATTCAACAACAACAGCAAAAAAAACCACAAAAAAAAAACAGTTCATGTGCTTTTGTATGTGCTGCTGTTTTGGTTAGTATCATCATCATTGAGATGGGCTTTCTGATGATGATTACTCAAAGTCGGGGTATTGTATCAGACGTGTTCTCCAAGTGGGTTGCTTGGAATAATTTGCGATAAATTACAATGCTGCATTCTACGGAAAAGAAAAAACGAGAAACAACCTGTTCCGACTACTCCCACCGCCACTTCTCAATGGCTACCTGCTGACCTCTTCCTCCAGCCTTGTCTTTTTTTTTTTTTCCCTACGCCGCCCTTTCAAAACTCAGAGCAGGCCTCTCTCCCCTGATCCTGCTGATCCCTCATCAGGGAGGCCAAGTGTAATATCTCCAGCAGCAAATTAGCATTTTTCTCATTACCGCCACCACCGTGAGAGGAGGGTGGCGAGGTGGTGAGTGGCAAGGGAGGTGGGCGAGGGCGAGGGGGTGGGCGAGGGTGAGGGCGAAAGGGTCGGCTTGAGCCCGTAACAGTCCCGTAGCCCGATTTGATGCTCATCATTCCGCATTTCAATAACGACAATATGAGACGCAATCATTCATGAAAAACGGCGGATTGTTAAATATGCCAGAGAGCTGTGTGCTAATGAAAGAGGTGCTGCGCATGTTTCTGTTGATGCTTTAATTGCAAATAGATTAAAATAAAATATCCACCAGAGTGCCACATTATGATGTTGATGATGATGATGATGATGGCGGTCGCGTAAGGCCACTCAAACAGATTCTTCTTTGCAGCAGACAGCAGTTAAAAAAAAAAAAAATTGCTTGGTTCATTCAAGTCAACAGCATCTTTTATGTTTACAACAACAGCCATGGAAAGACAGACTGGGTGTTTTCAACACTCTGAGGTTAATTCAAATTAAAAACTTGACAGTGTATGACAAAAAAAATGCACACAGGCTTGTTGAGGACTGGAAATTGTCTGTGGTGTTGACAAAAACACACTTCAGATTGTCAAAGACTCCACTTTTTGGAAGTGTTTGCACAAACATACCGCAGGCTCGTCAAAGGTCAGTTTTGAAGATGAGGAGTTGACTTGAATGTTTACACAAAAAAAAAAGACTAAATTGTTTTTGAAGTTGACAACATTTTAAATTCTTTGTGATGCACGTGATGTACGTAAACCACCTAAAATGGCCTTTCAAGTTTGCAAAAACATGCACTTATGTTTGGTTGATTGAAGACTAAACTGTCTGAGGTTCATGAGGGACTAAATTGTCTTTCGTAACGATAATGCGATGGGGTTGACTTCCGCCTCTCTGTTAAAAAAAAAAAAAAAAAAAAAAACCCACAGAGGCATGATGGGTGAGTTTAAATGGCACGCCGCAAAATGATGAGACGCACGGTGATGTCAGTGAGGGACAGCTTTGATTACAGCATTAGAACTTCAGCTGCGGGGCGCCTTTACGCTGAGCGGAGTTACATTTGGAATTAAAATTGGATTTAGATGAGGCAGAACTGTTTGGACTCGCTGCAGTGGATTTTCTTGCTGGTGAGCGAAAGCGTGTCCGAATGTCTTCCCTTCACCATTTTCATCTGTACGAGACACGGGTTCATTTTCAATGAAATGAAGTTAGAACTGAAGAACTTAAATGCCTTTGCAAATGTTAAGGTCCTTTGCACACCTGATTCCCTTTTCACGGATGTGTATCAGGCTTTTTTTTTTCTGAGGAACAATTTTGCTAGTCAAGGACTTCATTTGATGAGCAAATTATTCATTTGAAGAAGCAATTTTTTCCCACCCCCGATGAATCCTTGGGACCTGAAACGAGGTTTTTGTTCTACAATTAAAAATATGACAATATAACAGAACGAATGAATAGAGGATATTTTTCCTCAAAACATCTGACTTTATCATGAAAAACCAATTACTTTCCTTTTTATACAATAGAACAGATGATATTTTTTCAATCCACACCGCGCACTGCAGCAAACTAGCTTATCGTGGAGAAACATTTTCAGCAGGGCAATTTCAAACAAATACAAATTCAAACTTGAATTTAGCATTTCTTGAATCCACAACAAAGATTTTTTTTTAATTTGCAATCTCTAAATGTCTTTACACGTATATAAAAATATACATGTTAACTGACAACTTGACCTGTGAATTAAAACTGCCTTTTGACATTTAAAAAAACCCAAAACCACGAACACTGCAGTGGATACAGAGTTTGTGCCAGAATGTATCAGCTCACATATTTTTTTTGCAGGGGCAGGGGGCTGAGTTACATAATATAAAAAAAAAGGAATAAACCCCTGCGCGCACACACATGCACACGCACGCACACAAGCGGGCGCACACACACACGCTTACACACATGGGTGCACAAAACAGGCCGAGAAATAGGAAATAAGAAAAAAATGGGAAAAAAAATGCTCGCGTTCTCCCACGCTGCAGCCTTTCTGCGCTCCGCTCGCACGTTGCCGTTCATTCTTTCCCTTTTTATTCATTGCAGCACCATCATGAATTGCAACCTGAGGGTGATCCAGCCCCGAGCCTTTGCGCAGAATCCACACCTACGCTACATGTGAGTAAATATTCTGTCTATATCCTCGTACAGTCTACCAAAGCTTGGCAAAATATGGCCCGTGTGCAACTGACTCCCCGCTTTATTCTTAAATCTGGTCCAACAAGGATTTACAATTACATGTGTCAAACTCAAGGACCGGAGACTAAATCTGACCCTCCACATGATTTTATGTGGCTCGCTAAAGCAAGTCATATGCCTACACAGCCTGTGTGTTGTTTGAATTTGGACCAAAATTACAATTTTTTTGTCAAGTTTTTTATTACCACCCCAAAAATAAAAGAAAACAGGAGAACATATGATTTTCCTTGACTTTTGATTTAAAAATGGGTTAGCCGACACAAAAAACAATTAGAATCAGAAAATCCAAACATGAGTATTGTATCGAACCAATTTCGTTCCATGTCAAATTGTTTTTAATACCTTTGAAGGTCATGTAGTGATACAATTTTGCTTCATGAACCAGTTGTATTTTTTAATTATTTTTTTTTTTTTTTACTCTTCTTGAACAGAGCTGGTTCATGAAACATCTTGAATCTTCATTTTCCTATCAACCAAGAAATGCCACATTTCAATTATTGACAAGTTCATTCATGCATTTAAAATGACACCAAGAAACTCCCTTGAACTAAATCGGGCCATATCGAATCAAATTGCCAGACGACTGAATTGAACCAAATGGAATCGTTCCGCTTACCAAATCCAACCGTCCTTGACTCGCATCGCACATATGGACATACATATCAAATCATCTTTTTTTTCGGTAACGCATACCCCGATGTAACATGATGTGATGATAAAATGATATGATTTCACTGTCATATTGTCTCTCTGAGAGAAACGAACAACAATGCGGTCTGTGACATCAATGAGTTTGACATAGACTGTAAATGAATGCGATGAATCGTTTTTTACAATTCATACAATTTTGACACATTTTTAAAATGTTGACGGTAAAATAGACAAGCTTTTTTTTAAGGAATCTACAAATGATTTCGTCCATCTATCTGTTTAATTAAAAAAAATAAATCATATGTCGCTCTCAAGCACAAAAGTCTGCTCAACACTGCTTCATGGCTCGCCGACAAGTCGAGCCTTGAGCTCAAGATGATGTTGATGGAGAGTGGCTTTGGGGTATTTGGGGAAAATACGGACGGAGTGACGGGTGAATGGAAGCAGCGCCATTACTGCGGCTGAACGGCGCCCGTCTTAAATGAGACATCCATTATTTGCCTTGGATAATTGGATTGCTATCTGCACACGGCCTCAACATGCTGAAAAAGAAGACGAAAAAGGCGACATGCTTCCATTTAGCCGCCGCTCTCTAAATGGACAATTTGTCCGGCAGGGGCCGAGCGGCGCGGTGGCGAAGAGCAAAGTCATTTCTTTAACAAAAGGCTGACGTCTTAGCGTATGACAGCCTCTTATCGCACTGTTATCTTCCAGGAGTAAGCGGGACATGAGGAACTCGGTCGCAGTCTTTTACCTGAACACGCTGCCATTTGCAGTTGGCACTCGGAAACTGAATGTGGTCTCTATTCTGGGGGCAGCTTGGGAAGGAGTGGTTAGTACCTCACAAAACCGCAGGTCTGGGTTTCAATCTAGCTTTATGTGCTATCCTAGATTAGAAATTGCTGTCCACACAACATGGATGCTAGTTTTTAGAATACAGTACTCTCAATCAGTGGTTTTCAATCGTTTTTTTCAGTGACGTAGCCCCTGTGAATTTTTTTCTCCAGCCAAGCACCCTCTAACCAGCGCTTAACATTTTTGGGTGAAAAAAAAATACTTCCAACTCGGGATGTAATGATTTCTGAACATCACGATGCGGTATCACGATACTTGACGATACCATAATTATCACGATATTATGGGGAGGTTGGTGAAATAAAAAAAACTTTTAAAAATCAAGAGTGATGTTTTTGATGGTATGTGCTTCTTTTAATATCTTTGTGAAAAGCAGAACGTTAGTATTGTGGTGCATCTTCATGTGTCAGTCCAATGATTGACTTGGTGGTGGGTCCTGGTTTGTGGAAACCCGCCTTTCTCCCTGCATGACTGGCCTATGCTCCATTTAAGCTCCCCTCATCCCTGCCCGTGGAAAGAGTATGTTTACTGGGGGGCAACTTTGGAAGAAATAACTTGTAATGGCAACATTAAAGTCAATGCAGCAATGCAAGACTCGACTGACTCGTCAGATTTACGAGGTGATCTCACAGTTCAGCTTTTGCTTGCGTGTGTGTGTGTGTGTGTGTGTGTGTGTGTGTGTGTCCATTCACTTTATCTCCACGGCTGATCGGAAGCACTCATCAAAAGGGTCTGCTTCTTAATGAAACATATTAATCCTCACTCCACTTTTATTTTTTCGCTTTACTTTTGACCAAGGCAAATCAACTAAAACTTCCATGGTGTAATTGCGGTCTCGCAACCAACTTCTCTTACCGACGATCAGTGCCAACTAATTAGAAGCATCTCTGATCGTTGGCTATTGTACGAACAATTGAATCCAAAAAAGATGGTGTCTGTTTATTCGTATACACTCACCGGTTGTGGTTTGAGTGGGTGGACGTGTGGAAATAAAAATAAACACGTGTTAACATTCATGTTAGACTGTTGCTGCTTTGCACTCCGGTCAGCTGCCCTTATTCTCCTCTTGGATAAGATGTGTCTCCTTCCAGCAGCTGTATTACTGAGAACTAATTCACTTTCATTTTTTTAAATGGAGAGGCAGCAGAGTTAATGTGCTTGAGCATATACAAGAGGTATGTTTTATGTCTCCTCCTTGCATTTTTTTTATTTCCTGCTTCCATTATTGCTTTTGAAACTCGCTCATTTCGCCATTGTGGGACTAATAAAGGTTATCTTATTTCATCTTACTTTATTTGCGGTCTCCGTAGTGTATGAAAACACATTTGCTCAGGTCATTAAACAGTCCACTTACAAAAACACGTTTATTGAAAAGGTTGACCACAGACGTGCTGCAACGGAAAAACTCCAAACTTATGTTGGCTTTTGAGACTCCACATATTGTCCAGTATACTGTTCTGCAGTATATATACTGTATTTTATTTTTTTTTTTTTATTGAACCACAATATTACGGCATAATTGTGAAGGAAGTTGCTGAAAGAAGAAATGGGCCAGGGGAGAGTGTGGATATTTAGAGAGGCTGCTGACAATGACCACACACTCCATTTGCACACACAGAAAAACTCCACATTTTGCTTTCCAGCTACAGGTGCCGATGAAATTATAAATATAGTTGAGTATTATTGTAAAACATAACGATAGGTTAATGCCTGTTAATATCATTGACAAAAAAACAGTGTATTAGTTTCATGGAGGAGATAGAAATAAAAACACATTCATTAGGTTTGTTGATGTCTCGGAATTGTCTTCGACGGCGACTAAAATATATGTCTTATAGGTTCATTGAAGACTAAATTGTGATATTCACAAAATGACTTGCAAAGACTAAATTGACTGACTAATTGACTGCGATGTATACAAAATTCGCATATGTGGTTCATTGACGTCTCGAAGCAGATGTTGACAAAACAAAATGTACACTCAAATGTCTGAACTGTGGATGACAACAAATTTCCATTGGTGTTGAGGGAAACGTTAGGTTCACTGAAGACTCAACACTTGTTTTTGATATCCCTGCAAATGCATGTGTGAGAATTGAAAAATAAATACAACAAAAGAGGAACTGTGATTTTTACCAATGCAAAGTTCTGTGGATGTCGTTCACTTTCTAGTCTATACATGATTCCCACAAAAAGTTGCTGAAGTTGAAAATGGATGGCAGTGCAATTATTTTCATAAAATATTTGCACGCATTTAATTATCAGCTCGACTCAACTTATCATCATTTATATTAACCCTGCACTAGACCCAACAAATCAAAAGGAGTCAAGCGCAAAGCGGATGAATTCAAAACAATTCAATTTGGCGAGTTGATCGTTTACATTTGCGTTGGATTAAACCGTGAGCTCACTGTAATTGCGTCTCGACTTGTGATGAAGAGCGTCCGTTCCCATGAGAAAAAGCATCAGCTGGGCCTCTAATTCGGACATCAATGAGGTCGGCCTCATGCATAATAATTACTAGAGCTTGACATCCTCATCATCGTGATCATACTCCTTGCCAGTCACCCGGTAACCATCCACCTGCATTTACAACACAAGGGCGAAAGCTTTTGAGTTCAAAGGTGTACGTGTATTTTATTTAAAAAAACAAATAAAAACACACATTTTGCTTGAGCCTAAAACAATAACACGAATGTGCTTGATGGTGACAAGATGAATACATCACAACCCTTTTCAAAGGCTTTTATTTTGGCACATGGCCGTGCTGCGTTCAAACAGAGCCGTAAACATCACACACGTTTTGCTTACGATGTAGCTCCAAGGTGAGCTGTTGCTAAAAATGAATGTGCTCATCCTGTCTCGTGTCTCCGCATACATTCTGACATTATTGGGGTTTTTTAATGTTCTTTTTAAAAATGTGAGCACAGATACACCACACTTGACTCGAGAGAAAAACAAGAACCAGGTTGTCTCTGCCCCGTTAGCCAATATGAAGTTGGGATTGATTGACTTTGGTGCCATATGTTGTTTACATAAAATGCGGAAAGCACAAATGTTTCAGAATTTAGTCACGGATTTGTCTCGTTCCGATTCGGTAACGATCCAACAAAATCTTGGAAGGTCTCCAGGAAATGGCCAACGTGACCCTGACCCACACCAAAATGGCATGGTTATCTTTTAAGGCATGTCATGTTTTCTTGAGTCTTATTTGTGAGTCTGTTCGTCGTGCCAACTAAATGACATGTTTGCTCGTGAAACTGGCTTTGGGGTCTTTGACATTATTATTATTATTATTATTATTATCTTGGATAGATTCTCTATTTCATCATTATATTATCATTATTAAGATTGTTCTGATCGGGTTTTATGCTGCCGATTCCGACCGTTCATAAGTGAAATTGTCCGTTACT